TTAGTCAACTCTTTTTAGCCGCTTCCTCTTTTCTTCATTCAAAGATCCTTGATTATCCATTTTTTTTTGTCGTTTCATCAGCTATCTGATGTATTTAATGCTACCAACCTAAACGATAAAAAGCAAACAATCTTACTGGCTTGGTTATTATCACAACTTGATCCTCAGTTTCACGAGCGATCTTATCTGATTAGAGGGTTTTGAAAAACAAAGTTTTTACCTTAGCTTTGTAATCGGATAGCATGGTTTCTAATACTTGCTTGGAGTAATTAGTTTGTTTTTTAGCACTGAATCCCGAATAACAGCAGATTCAAGTGATATAGATATGGATGTGGATTCTACAGAATCAGATCAGCTGTTCAACAAACTGATGATTTGGGTCAGTTTTATCTATATCTTTCTTATCGCATATACAGTTGTTATAAGATTATTATTGCTATGGTATTTGACATCTCTCAACGCATTTGTAAATTTATGTTCTTTTTCTCTGGAAAGTCGAATGTTTCTGTTTATGAAAAATGTTTAATGCTTGACAGATGAAATCTTTGCACTTCACATCTCTGAGCCTTGATCCAAAGTGTCTGCGGAGTGGCCGTGCATTTGGTGAAGTCTTGCATGGAATGTTAGTCTTTTCTTCTTCTTTTGTCGCTACATAGATTTGGAATTTAAATCATTATTCTTTAGCGACCAAGAATTTTTCAATGAGACCTGGATTGAAAAAGTCGCTCAATATGATTCGGATTCTAATTGGAGGGTCAAAGCAAACAATCTTCGTAAGGTATACTTTTTCCTACTCATAAAATTCAATTATAAATGTCGTTTTGATTTGTCCGTTATTCGCTGTTTGAAAATTTATCTCGTTTCTTCTTATATCTTAGATGAACTTTTGAACTCGTCTTTGTTCAGAAAGCTTGTGATTTCAGTTGACGCGTAGTCTCGCTGAATACTACGACGAACACATACACAGAATAGTGAAGGGAACACCGTTACTCGATATAGATGAAATGGAGTTTGGTTAGTTTTTTTATCCAATCTCCTAAGTTGATAATTATCACTCAATTTTCCAATATAATGCCTCTTTGTAGCTGAAGCAGGCTCTATAAGGGAAATGTTAAAAATGGCTGTGTTAATTGTTGGAGCAGCTTTTCTGGGTAGGAAGCAGGAAAGTGAGTTTTATTTCATAGTACAAAATACATCTGTACAGTTGGTATTGAAATCAACGAATCGTAGGTGTTGAGCTTAAACTTTGTTCTTCGACGTTACGTCGTTCCAAGAATTTTTCGATGGTATTCGTAGATCAGCTACTGTGTTAAATTGTAGCTATTTTTGTGTTGGAAGCTTTGCAGTCTTAAAGCTGCGTACCTTCCCCTATTCTTCTCAAAAGTGCAAGTCTAATGCATCGGCTCTTAATTTAATTATTGCGGACCCTATTGACTAGTGCAATAACAATGTTACAGAGTTTGTCGCTGGTGTTACTATCCTCGACCCCGACGTCCAGAGTGGTGTTGCGACTGCAATACAATCTATAATGGATGGATCAGAGAAAAGGGAAATTCAGTCACCCGTTGTCATCCCACCGGAAGAAGTTTTGCCAGACATGGTACGTTGAGGCGTTTTTACACAGCTATTCTAATCGGACGGTGTATTCTACAGAAACCCAATGGTGGTGTTAGTTCAAGTAGCAGCGAAGAGTTGGGTGGTCGGATAACACTCCTGGGTAAAGAGGTTAGTCTGAAAGGTTGTTTTTGGCATGCTCTCACGAAATTGAATTATTCGGTATTTTCTATGTCATCATGATGCATCATCTTGACATGCAGTGTACATCTCGGAAATTGTTTTCTTTTCTTAATGTCCAGTAGTTCACCTT